ATGGGCTGATTGAGGAATTGGCGGGTGGGTGGATATATAGGTAGGTGGATGGATGAATGGGTAGATGTATAGGAAGTGGATGAATGGATGGATATATAGGTAAGTGGATGAATGGATAGACGGATGGAAGAATGGAGGTGAATGATGCCTGAATGGGTGGATATATAGATGCAGATGAATTGGGGGTGGGTGAATGGATGGGTGAATGGGTGAGTGGGTAGATGAATGAGTGAGTGCATGGGTGGATGGGTGAGTGGAGTTAGATGAATGAGTGGATGGGTAGATAAATAAATGTGTAGGTAGATGATTGGGGGGTGAGTGGATGACTGAATGTTGGTAGCTATATGGGTAGGTGGTTTGTGGATGGGTGAATGAGTGACTGGGTAGATGGGTGAATGAGTAGGTGGATGAATAGTGGGTGGATGGCTGTAAGGATAGATGGATTGACAAATAGGTAGATATGTGGGTGGGTGTGTGGATTAATGAATGGGTGAATGGATGGATGCAGGGCAAATGAATGTATTGATGAGTGGGTGGATGGTTGGTGAATGGGTAGATATATGGGTGGATAGACGGGTGCATGTGTGGCTGGCTGGCTAGATGGATGGATAGGTGGATGGAGGAATGGGTGAGTAGGTGACTGAATGTTGGTGAATATACTGGTGGAAGGATGGGTGGGTGGCTGGGTGGGTAGATGAATGAGTGGATGAATGAATAAATGTGATCTGAATAAATAGAAAGGGATGGATGGATGGATGGATGGATGGATGGATGGATATGTGAGTGGATAGTTGGATGGATGGTGAATATGTGGATGAGTGGATGGATGGATGGATGGATGAATGAAGGGTAGATGGATGAGGGGTGGATGGATGAATGATGGGTATATGGATAAATGAAGGGGTGAATGGATGAGGGGTAGATGGATGACTTGGTGGGTGGAGGATATATGGGTAGGTAGATGAACAGAGGGTGGGTGGATAAATGGTTAGGTGGATATATAGATGAGTAGTCGGATGGATAGGTGGGTGAGTGGGTAGATGGATGGGTGGAGATATATTAGATAATATATGGGTGAGTGGGTGGATGGATGGAAGGATAGGTAGGTGGGTGGGTGGGTAGGTGAGTGGGTAGATGGATATTTGGGTAGATGGTGGATATATGGGTGAGTGGGGTGGGTGGATGTGATGAGTGGTTGGTGGATGGGTAGTTATGAGTAGGTGAATGTATGAGTGGGTGACTGGATGAATGGATGGATGGGTGTGATAGATATATAGATGAGTGAGCGGGTGGGTAGATGGCTAGTTGGATACATGGATGGATGGGGATTGATAGATAGGTGCATGAGTGAATGGGTGGATGGATGGATGGATGGATGTATAGATGGATAGATGCATGCATGGGATAAATAAATGAATGTCTTGGAGGATGGCACATAGGATGAAAGGACAGATGGATGAGTAAGAAGGTAGATATGATATAGATAAATGACAGGACAGATATAATACCAAAAGAGACAGACATATGACTGCTAATAAATAATGGATAAATAGATACAATAATAGATGTATGGTGGCAAGATAAATCAATGACAAATCAATAAAATGAAAAATTGGTATGGGATGAACTATTGGAGACACAGATGTGTGAAAAGACACCCCTTCATTGTAAATTTTGTACTACCTTTCTGGAATACTTTCTCCCACTGTGAAAAAGTCAGTCAGTTTCTCTCTCTTTTCTTCTCTCTCTCTCTCTCTCCTCTCTCTCTCTCTCTCTCTCTCTCTCTCTCTGTCCCTCCTTCTTAAAGCAGGAAATGTTTATCCCTTCCCACCAAGCTTCTTCATCATTAACTATCATACAAAACATCTTGGTCCCCCATGCTCCCTATTTCCTTATTCTGATTCATACTTTCAGCAGCATTAAACATCATCTGCAACGTGTTGGTATGTGTTTACTTATTTGTTCCCACTAAAATGTCAGCATCATGAACATTAGAGAGTGGTGCTGGATTCCCAGCACATTAAAAATTATTGGAATTCAAGTCGTGTTTCTTGAATAAACATACGGATGGATGAACAAATGTGTGGCTAATTAAATGTATATGTGAGAGGAAGGATGATGACTGGGCTGGAGGCTGATTTCCCATACATAATGTATTGACTTGCTTGGATGACCATGCATACAGCATCACACAAACAGATGTGTGTAGCTGGATGGGCAGCTTCCTAGGTGAGAAGATGTCTGGAAAGACAAATATATGAATGAATATGGAAAAGGTATAAAGAAAATGTAAAAAAAATGTACAAATGAATGAAAAGAAGAGCAGAAGAATATTTGGAGATGAAAGGACAGATTGAAGAAATTTTCCTGATAGAACAAATGAACATACAAATGGAAGGATAAACATGCAGATAATATTTATTAGTGTGTAATGGAAGGTTATTGTGGATGGGTGGCTTGCTAAACACTTATTCTAGGTGTGCTGATGAAATAACTCAGTGTGGTAAAATGGTGATTGCCATGCAAGCTTGGTAACTTGAGTTTGATCCACAGAACCCATGTAAAGAGGAAAGGAGGGAACCAACTCCCCAAAGCTGTCTTCTGACCTCCACATCGTCAGTGTGGTACATGCAGCCTCTCTTAATAACAATAAACTTTAGATTTTTGTAAAGATGATTAAGTAAATGGTTAAGTAGATAGATGGACAGATGGACAGATGAATGAATTCATGGATGGATGGGTCAATTGAGAGATTCTTTTTTCAGTGGAGAAATTATGTAATGAAGGGTGAATAGACATGGACATACATGTATGAACAGTTGTTTGAAATGACTGAATAGTATGTTGTATTCACATAGGGGAATAGATAGGCATGATGAAGACTTGATGGGTTGATAAGTGATACAATAAAAATACAAGCACCATAAAGACAAGATGGATGGATGGATGGATGGATGGATGGATGGATGGATGGTTAGGTAGGTGGGTGGGTGTATGAGTGAGTGTACACATCCATGTATGTATATATGGATAAATGGGTGGGTAGGTGGACAAATAATAGACAGTAATGCCATTATCAAATGTTCTGTCCATTTGTCCAAACATGTCATGGTTTCAAAGCCTTAAGTCATTCTACATTTCTTCATAGGAACTCGCCCCCCATTAAGGCATCCTTCCCCTGTCTGGAAACATTCTTCCTTCTTTTGAACCCAAATTGCCTTGACCATGTGTCTTTCCTGGCTGTGTAGCTGGAATAGGAACAGGGGCAAGGAGGTGATGTGATGAGTTGTGGTGCAGGCACAGCACAAGCTGGTTCCATTGGGTGATCTCCTCAGCATGGACTCACCAGAGGGAGGTTCACCCCAGCCCCATCCTTATTACTTCAGAATTGCTGTTTACTATCTCTGTGCTGGTGGAGAGGGCAGTGGACTCTGCTGTCTCTGCTGTACACCCTGGCTCCCTCTTCTCCTGGGAGATGCTGTAACTGCAGCGCTCAGAACAGCTGGATCTCATCCTGTAGAAAGTGTGGCAGAAAAAGTGGGTAGCCAGCTTTTTGGTTGCTGCAGATTAGAGCTGTGGATCCATGTGACATTATATCTGTGTGGTTACCTTAAGGCATACCTTCTTCCCACCTGTGATCCATTCATGAGTCTCTAACTCCCTCCTCTGTCCTCAGTAGTCCTCATTAGGTTTCTTACAATCTGACTTCCTGGTTTACCTGGAGGTCACAGTAACTTGTGTGTGTCCATTCTCCCAGTATGGAGATGGAGGACAATGTAGGCCAGCTGTGTACTGTGGGCAGTTGTTGGCAATCAATAGACCCAACTATGGTCTTGAGTCTGCCAGACTCTGGCTCTGTGACCTGGCACGGTGCTGTTGACCAGCCTTGGTTTTCCCATCTAGCTCATGGGTCTAGCAGTATTGCTTGTCCACAGCTATGAGTATAAGTGATCTGAGAAGCCACCAGATGTAAGCCTACTCGCCCAGAACTGGCCCATGGCAACTTCCTCCCAGCCCAGCCACTAGCCTCCAGTGTTCTCCAGTGAGTCACAGTGACTAAGCCCAACCAGAAAAACAATGGGCTGGGCTGCTTGTCCCTGGGTCTGAGCCAGAGGATAGGGTAAGGGGCTGGCTGGTGAGGGCACCCACCACCCAGGTACCCTCCACCACTCTGGGGACTTTGGCTACCTACACCAAGGAAGATGCTCTCTGTAGTGTCTATACATCCCTGATCTGAATACAGCCTAAGGTTCTGGGGAAGGCAGAAGCCTCCCAACTAGGCGACCTGGGAAGATTCCTGGGGTGCCCAGCCTCCCCTGGAGGTTATACAAGAGCAGAGAGCTGGGAATAAACAGAGGGAAAAAAGAAGACCCAGAGGGAGGGAGAAGAGGGAGGGGAGGAGGGAGAAAAAGAAGGGAGGGAAAGGAATGGGGGAGGGAAGGTGGGAGGGAGACTGAGATAGGGATGAAAACCACAGAAGAGAAGAAAAGGGCAAGGAGGGGCAGTCAGCCAGGTCAGGGGCAGCTAAGGCCCAGACCTGGGAGGACAGAGCCAGAGGTCAGGGAGAGCAGGACTCAAGAGCAGGGACCAGCAGGCAGGCAGGCAGAGATGGGCAAGAGGCTCTGAGGATGGGGAGGTGACCTGTGGGCCAGGCACCCAGAGTGGAGTGGTGGTCAGAGAGATGGGAAGTGGCAGAAGCTGCCAAGATGGTCTGAGGGGGGCATACCACCATGCTGCCCACAAGCGGGCGTGGAGGTCCAGCCAGGCCCCCACACTGCGGGGCTGGGAGGGTTTCTCTCTGACATTTTTACTAGTCTCGGAAGGAGGAGGAGGTGGTGGAGGTGGAGGAGACCGAGGGGGCGGAGAAGGGGGCTGGGGGACAAAAGGAAAGCAGCTG